CATAACCTTGATGTTTTTACAAAGGAATTTCTTTCTTTTAATAGCTATGTTATTGAGTAGCGACTTTGTATCAAGCACTGGAATAGATACTTCCTAGAATATTAGGATAAGTAAGACATAGTTTCTGCCTTTGTAAAGCTTACTGTCCAGTGCCTTTAAATACCAACTGTATTAGTGACTTGACACCTTGAAACCCAAACTTGTATAGCCTTGTATATACATTGCAGTGTCTATACTTAGATGTCTGACTTGTGTCTATACGTAGATGTCTGACTTGTATATATACTTAAATGGCTAATAAATGTCCAAACGGGAGCTTCCATCATTCTCTTCAAATCCATTTCATTAACAAACTTCCCATCTCTGTAAATGACAACTCCACTCTTCCGGTTGTTCAGTCCAAATGCTTCTGTGTTATCTTTGACTTTATCCATTCCTTTCATACCCCACATCTCATCTTCCAGCAAATCCTATGAGCTCTATCTTCAGAATATATTTAGAATTTGATGACTTATCACCATCTCCACTTCTACCACCCTGGTCCACTGTAATCTGTCTACTAGAACCTCTTATCCTCTTGCTTCTGTAATTGCTTCCCTTCCTCCCCATAGTCTGTCTGTTCTCAGCAAAATAGCCAGAATAACCATGTTAAAATGAAGTCAGATCATGTCACTGTCTGGTCAGAACATTAGAGTGGCTCCCCATCTTACCCGGAGTAAAAGGAGAGGTTCTTAGAATGACCTACAAGTCCCGGAATGATCTCACTTTTGTTACCTCTCTGATCTGTCCTACTTCCCTCCCTTGTTCACTCACTGGCCTGCTTTCTGTTTCTTGAGCGTGCTGACCATATTCTCTTTTTCACACCTTTTGCACTGGTTGCTTCGTCTCTTGGAATGCTCTTCCCTCCTGATAGCTACAACCCCCAGCCTTCATCCCTTATTTCCTTCAGGTATTTACTCAAATGTCACCTTCAGAATAAGACCCTCCCTCACCATCATATTTAAAATTGTGAACTGCTCCCCCTCCCACACATACGTGCTATCCTCCTTTAATTTCTCTTTAACACTTTACACTCTTTTACATGCTGTCTATTTTATTTATTTTGTCTGTTTCCTGCACTAGAATGTAATCTCTGTGACGATGGGGTTTTCATCAGCTTTGTTCACTGCTGTAGCCTCACTACCTAGACCAGTGCTTAGCACATAGTATATGCTCAGTAATTGTTGGCTGAGTGAGTGACTGAATGTAATGACTTCTTTATAACATTAAGTATATTGAATTTAAAGAACTGATACAGATTATCCTTTCAAATGTTACAACATCTCCTTTATTTGAGAAATTAAGGAGAGAAGAGTTAGAAAGTATCTTTTAGCAAAAGATATCCATATGTGGCAAAATAAAAATCTGACAACTCAATATTGATTTCTTTCTCCAATGCCCCCCTCCCTTTTGTGATTTCCTGGGCCAGAATGTCCAAAAGTTTGTGAACCAGTGATGTAGATGATTCAAGAAATGAAACAGTGAAGAAAAGAAGAAGTATAAGAAAATCTAGTGGAGTATGCATGCTTGAGGGAGATTTTTTCTGTTTTTAAAATTTTGTTTATTTTTTTAAGAGATTTGCCTATATACTGAAAGATGTTTACCCAGTGAAATTTGACTTATAATTAATTGGTTGTCTACACTAAAGTTGAATATAATGGGGAATCACTTAAAAAAAAAAAAAGATCTACGCATACCGTAGTTTTATTTTAACATAAAGCATAATTGTACATTTATTTGTCTTTTTTGGAGGAGGGACAGGGTTCTGAGGCTGCTGATTGGGTTCCACAATGCCTTTTGTACATACAAACTGCACTCATATTGCATGACTTGCTTTTTATAGTTTTGGCTTCTTTAAAGTGGAATGAGAACTTAGACACATGCAAAGTAGACTGAGCCTAGACACTTTTTAGTTTATTTGGATTTCCCCTCAATTCTTCTGGTTTGAGTGAAGTTCATGTATTTTACAGCAACTGCCTAGTCCTAGTGGTCAAGTGCTGCCATTTCTAGGGAAAAATTCTACATGTATTTCTTAATTGAACAAAATCAATGGAAATGATAGCCTTGTTGAAGTGTACACTTATTTATTAATCTTTACAAAGCATACACTTGAAGCATGTACTTACTGCCACCATGGGAAGACTCATACACTAATGTATAGTCAAGAAATCATGGCTTTAGTTTCAGCTTTTCCATTGTGTTATTTTACATAAAACAATTTCTGTAACAGAATTCTGTTTAAAATAGGGATAGCAGTATGTAGTCCTTCATAAGAAGATTAATGTCAGTGTTTGCAGAGTGCTTTGGGTTCCCTTTAACAGGCACTTACACAAATAAACAAACACACTTATTTTATTTACTCTGCAGAGAACGATATTAGTAATGGACTTTATTGTTTCTTTGAGCTTATTGATGTTTTTAATAAGGAGATAAGGACATTAAAAAAAACTGAATTTTCATAGCTACAGCTATTCTTTTTTGTAGTACAGTATTTTGCATGGGGCATGGAATGTTAGGGCCTATTTATACCTTTAAAAACTATATGTTAATTTCATGTGGTTTGAAATCTTACTCAGTCTATGACAATTTTCAATGTCAAGGCACATCATTCTTAAAACAACTCTTTCCTTCTTGCACTTTTTGTCCTCTCCTGACCTCTGCTGGTAAGGTTTAGGCATGCATGACTCTGTTCAACTTCATCTTCAGTCATGTATCTTAATATTCAAATAGGAGAAATGTAAAAGCATCTGCAGACTTGAATTGGCCCAAAGTTCTAAGATTTCTAATTCTAGAAGAGAAGGCTATTTAATATTCATCCATGTACTATGTTTAGCCTTTACTGTCTGAATTATTAACTATCTTATAATGGAAGGGGCCTTGGACCAGATCGTACTCAAGCTAATGTTATGTGGATGATTCAACAAGCAATTGTTAAGTACTTACTATTCAGCTGATCCTGCACAGGATTAAAAAATATTATCTCAGATCACTGGACTGTGGACCCCAGCTTTAATTCTTACACTCTCCTTGCCCCAGTAGGAGAGGTCAATCCCGACTCACAGGCAACATAAACTTAAGATAATAGCGTATCTTAAGAAGTTTAGTTCTTCCCTGAAAACAGCTCATAGGGAGAAAAGTACATAGCAGTGTACCATTTTCTTAGAAGAGGTAATGGGGAGATAACAAAGGGAATATAGGATAGCAATTAAGACCTCTGCATAATTTTCCTTTTGATATATGTTATTTTGACATTCTCAGAGGAGTAGTATTTTCTTATACCATTTAAAAAATTGCACTGATGAACATCTCAAATACGCAGATCTTAGTTTTTGATTACCATTCCCTATTAAAAAGAACCACTGTTTCTTCAAGAAATAGCTGATTCCAGGTCTGAGGTAGGATAAGTATATGGTGATCCTGAATCATCTTGTGCCAGAAAACAAGAAAGTGATCAAAGACTAAGCGGGTATGTCTAAAGGACCTACTTGACAGGAGAAATCTTCAATTAGATAGGAGGCAATCTGGCCAAATTTGGGACAATTTGAGCTGCAAAAAGAATAACGATTGTAACACATTAGATAAAATAATCCTTTAGACTATACCAAAAACCAAAACCTGATGCCGTTGAGTTGATTCTATCTCATAACAACCCTATAGGACAGAGTAGAACTGCCCCATGGGATTTCCAAAGAGCAGCTGGTATATTTGAACTGCCAACCCTTTTGGTCAGCAGCAGAGTTCCTAACCACTGCACCACCAGACCATAGTGATATTAAAAAATGGGGAGGGGCAGAAGGAAAAACTTTTTAATAGATAAATGCCCGTTAATAATATAGAAGGAATGATAGAAAAAAAAAATCACCATTTTGTATCATCAGAGTCATAAGTGATTCATGCAACGATTATCAATGGATGATAACACCATTGGGTAGAGTTGTTAAGGAACAGAATGTCCATATTGTCTCAAAGGATACTACACAGATTACTTATTAGTTATAAAAGGGAATTTCTCTATTAGTATTGGAGAAATTGGGCAAATACCACCTTAACCAAGTGATCAAACTTTAGCATCACTGATAATAGTGTAAATTGACATTATGTATCTCCTGATGAGACGCACTGGGAAGGGCACATTACCTGTGTAACAGTCCAACCAAAATCTAGCCTGAGTCTAATCATGGGGAAATAAATTAGATAAAACCAGATAGTGTGGCTTCAAAATGTCAATGTCTTGAAAGGCAGAGAAGGCAAGGGGGCTGTTCTACATTAAAGGAAACGAAAGAGACATGCCAATAAAGACAATGCATGGTCCTTGATTGGGTCCCCAATTTCTCCCCTCTCTCCAAAGAAAAATAGCTACAAAGAAGATTTTTGGGACAAGTTAGGAATTTGGTATATGGATGCTTTAATAGGTAATAATGCATCAGTTATAAATTTCTTGGGTGTAAGTGGTACTGTGGTTATGTAGGAGAATTATATTTGTTCTTTGGTGATAAACATACTTAAAACATTTAGGGATAAAGTATTCAAGACATCTCTGAGTTTCTAATAGATCAGCAAAAAAAGGAGGGGAGGATTGATATAAATAGATGAAATTTGGCAAAAGTTAATTAGTGGATCTCGTTGAAGTATATGTAAGTATATGGTGCACTATTCTTCCAACATTTCTGTAGGTTTGAGGTGTTTCAAAATAAAAATTGGGAAAGTCAAGATGTGATAGGTCTTTGTATGAAATCAACAGAATTATTTATTATCAATTTTGTATAGACTTAGACCATCAGTAGTTCTGAATTTTGGCAGAACTTTGAGAAGTATTGCCAACATATGGAATGATACTATTTTTACCATTATGCTACATGTTGTTAGGTGCAGTCAATTCCGACTCATAGTGATCCCATGTGACAGAGTAGACTTGCCCCATTAGGGTTTTCTAGGCTGTAATCTTTACAGGTTTTACATGTCTTTCTCCCACAGAGCTGCTGAGTAGGTTCGAACCACCAACCTGTCAGATAGTAAGTGAGTGTTTAACCGTTGCACCACCAGGGCTCCTTTTTCTACATAAGAGAGATTATTATAATTTACTTCTGATTATCTCTATATTATAGTGATCGAACTGCTATCAAAAGTAAGGTGAGGAAGAACAACACAGACAGACAAATAGCAAACATTGGTCAAAGAAGCATGAAAATACATTGTGTGCTGGGAATGCCAAATAGTTCATGGTGGCCAGATCATAAACGTAGAATGATGTGAAACTGGAAGGTGAATTGGGGCCATATTATGAAGGGCCATCCTTATCTGCTGTGTTAAGAAGTTTGAACTTTATTTGTAGATAATTGGTAACCGTGGAAGGATTTTAAACTGGGACATGTTTAAAAAGTTTTGGTAGCACTAGGGAGGCAGGATTGAAGACCGTCAGGGAGACTAGTAAGGAGCTATTGATTGAATCTGTGATTGGCTTAACTAAGGGCAAAGGACATGATGGAATGAAGGGGCAAAAGATGGAACTTGGATAGTATAGTTTGGGTGTGGGAATTAAGATCAAAGGAAGACCTAAAACAACTTTAATGTTCTAGTTTGATTGATGTAGGGCGTAATGATGATTTTAATTCATGACAGGGAACAAAAGGGTAAATAGCAGCATGCTTGAGGAAATAGTTTTGGATGTGTTGAAGTGTCCATTGAACTTTCAGGTGTAGATTCTAACATGCTGTTATAGTCTAGCTTTGCCTTGGTGTTACTGAGTCCAGGGCAAGACGATATGCCTTAGCCTACTTTTCTTGAGCACATAAGTTCACGTTTGTCAGATATATTTTCAGTTACATCTTACTTCAGAATAATTGCTGGAATAGTTAGCTGTAGCTTGTTTGGTGGTAAGGTATATTTTATTGATGAATTGTAGATTCATGAGTGAGGGAAAACAAAGACTTTCACGTGCATTCAAGTCTGCTGTAGTTGAACTGACAGCATTACGGAGTTAAAATTTAAACTTACTTGAACTACTAATATATAATTTTAAAAAACCTATACAACCTGGGAGCTTCTTCCAAGGTGTATCATTTTTCCTTCTTCCTACTATAGAAGAAAGAAAAGCATACTTAATGGGTTTTAAAATTGTGCATGTGCCAGTGTGGGTGTGTATTTTGCCATTGATTGCACTGAGAATGTGTAGCATTTAAAATAATCAATGTATATGATAAACATTAGGATACAAAAGTGTGCCTTAAAAAAAGAATAACTACTTCCTAAAGTGATTCGTTGTTAATTCATAGTCATAAATATGAAAGATAGCAAGAGACCTGCTAGATCTCAGCAGGGTTGTTCCTGGCACAAGTGTATTTTATTATTCTCTTGGGTTGGCTTGAATTATTTGGTGTTTTCCTGTTGGTAGAGAAAGGGATTATGCTTTGAAGAAGTCAGGGGAGGAAGTGCAGAAGAACAAAAAAATACCAAATGGCAACTTAGATCAATCTTAATTTTTCACAGCTTGGCCTTCTCTAAAGTCACATTTAACAGAAACATTAATTAGATTTCAGTGCCCCACTGAGTTTTAAAATTAAACATATTTCTGGAACCATCTGTAACATTTTATCACTAATAGTATAATGAAGAATACACTTAGTCTTTTGAAAAATGGGAATTATAACAGAATTATCTTTTACTCACGAGTGATCACCTTTTATTATGAAAGACTCATCAAACTTTTTAAGAGTTAAGAAGTAATTTAAGAGTTTTAAGAATATACCTAAAAATAAAATTATATTGATGAGAAACTTTCTAAATTAAAGATTTTCTTTGGGATTTTTATGCTTCTTTTAGACCTAAAAATATTGATGGTGGACATACGCCATCTGCCAACATAATACCTGCTTGAGTCAGTCCAGTGTGGTGGCTAAGAGTGCAGGCCCTGGAGCCAGGCTGCCTAGCTTTGAATCCCTCTTCTACCACTTACTAGGTATGTGAATTTGGGCAAGTCACTTAACCCCTTTGTGCCTCTGTTTCCTTATTTGTAAAATGGGGATAGTTTTACCTGACCTCATTGGTTTTTAGTGAGGATTAGTGAGTTAATACATGTGAAACATTTTGCCCTATGCTTGGCTCTTGGTAAGCGTTATGAAGTTGTTGTTACTATTAGTTCTCTTTGTGGCAGTTTAAGTAATTGTCTTTATACAACACCAGCTTTGAAGGAGACATCTGGCTTCATCTCCATATGCTTTCTATCCAGAACTGGATAGGTATAGTCCTGTTTGAAGATGGGAGAAAGAGAAGGAAATTGTAGATAGTATCTCTTTAAATAGTCTACAGACCTTTGTTAGATTTAACATAAGATCATTTGCTAAAGTCTGTTTAACTCCTTTTAACTAAGATTCAGAGAGTGAAAATATAAATTGGGAATAAACACTCTACTACTTTTTGGTGTTTTGTTTTATTTTGGTTCTTTTTCTCATTAAAACTAAAGTCATTCTGTTTGGTGGTCCTTTCTACTGAAGTTTCATTACCTAATGTTAAAATTATTTATTACTGGTCTTGACAGTTTTCTAATAGTTGAGGAAGGAGAACTGTTAAGGTTTCATACACTTATAGTTATGAAAAGATAAATTTTGTAAATCTGTAAGTTGGTATATATGATACAATTATGCTATGTTTATAAACATTTTAACCGTTTCCCTCATTTATTATATGATAAAGCTTCTTTTGTCTTTACCTTATGGAGGCAGTGGTGATTCAGTGGTAGAATTCTCACCTTCCATGCAGGAGATCTGGGTTCAGTTCCAGCCAATGCACCTGATGCACAGCCACCATCCCTCTTTCAGTAGAGGATTGCATGTTGCTATGATGCTGAACAAGTTTCAGCAAAGCATTCAGACTAAAATGGACTAGAAAGAAAGACCTGTGAAAACCCTGTGGATCACAACATCCTATCCTGTTGCGTAAGGGGTCACCATGAATCGGGAGCCAACTCAGCAGCTAACAACAACAATCTTTACCTTACTTATTTTTTGAACATAAAATGTATCCTCAGAGCCATTTTCTTTCTTAGTAGTCTTCTATTTCCATTGCTATTTGTTCTTATACTTATTACACTTAAGAGGCTCCAGAAAAGAAAATTTGTGGATTGAGGAGAATGAACAAAATAGAATCTTAGCTCACTCATAGAAAAGAATTATGTTGGATTTTGTTTTCATAAAAATGAACTAATTAATTAGGTGCCTACTCTGTGCCAGCTGCTGTTCTAGGCAGTAGTAACTAGCGAACATGCTTGGCCTTCATGGAGTTTAGAGTGGCTATGGAAGAATGTAGGCTAGGTGTGTAGCAGCAATGGGTTCTTAATACCAAACCCTGAAAGTAGACAGATTTATTCACCTGGTCATGGGCAAAGAAGTCACCACAGACCTCTTTGCTGAAGAGGGTATTTTTTTTCTGCCTGGAGGAATGGAGTACAAATGTGCTCTCTGTGGGTAGCTGGGCTCCCAATTAAAAGGGAGAGAGAACTCTACATGCCCAGTTCTTTTTCTAAATTTATCAATGAAGTAAGTCACTCTAACACCTTAGGAATGGGTATAGGATTGGACAGCAGGCCTGAGTGCTTAGGAAAAAATATCTCTCCTCCTGGAAACCAAGGTGTGAGGAAGAAGCATTTTCTGTACCACTCCCAGTGATTACTAGATGAGGCTCGCATCAGTTCCAATTTAGTGTGACATGAAGACTACCCATGCCTACTTCTTAAGGCTTGTCTTCTTATGCTTCCTTGTTTTTTTGCCCTTGGAACTACTATCAGCCCTGTTTGGTGATGGATTATCTCAAAATATATATATAACTGTTTACGGTATATCTTTGCCCTCATCACACTTGATAAAAATTCTAATGATCTTTTCAATTCTTCATTTAGGGTTCATCTTCTCTGACATCCCTGGGTGGATGTGACTATTCCTTCCATCATGACCTTGCTGTTAACCTTTCTGTCTGTGTCATAGTGTCGGCCACATTGCTGTGTATTTCCACGTCAGTTGCCCTTAGCGGACTGTGAGCTTCTTGAAAGCAGCAACTATTACTCATTTTTGTATATTTTTTCTTCAGCATAGTGCTTGTTACATTATAAATAAATAAAAATAAAGAATAAATAAATAATAAATGAAGAATGAATAGCCAATTCTCATCTAAAAAAACCAATTCTCACTGAAAACATTAATATGATAGAACTCAGTAAAAAGTGAAAGGAGCGAATTGAATTTTGAAAGTTTGTTTTTTGCTTCATAAATGATATCTTAAGATACTTTAAAGTTTACTTTAACTGAATTTGTAGAATGCACAAGCTTTTTAGTTTTAAAGTATTGGAAATTTTAAGCAATCCCTTTCCCTGTCCTTTGGAGAGAAATGGAGCATTTCCTATGAATCTTAATTTTAACTATGGTATTGCTATTGATACAATTGTAATATTAACCACCTTAAAAAAAGTAGATAGGATATTTGTTGTTCAATATAGTATCACTGTTTTAATAGTCTTTTTTTTTTCCAGCAGCATTTTCTTTTGAAAATAGAGGTAATTTATAAATAAATAAGCCTCGAACAAACATAACAATGAACTTCAATTTTATTTTAGCAAAAGGCCCTGGAAATTGAAAGAACTACTAAATGGCTGAAAATGCTAAAAGGATGGGAAAAATACAAGAACACTGAGAAGGTAATTTAAAATAATGTTGTTTCCATATGAATCTGTATAAATTTAATGTAGATTTTCCTCATTAACTATTTCTTTTTAATGATAAAAGTGTTACATTCATATATATATATATATATATAATTTAGCAGAATACTTCAGATTAGGAGTCTTTAAGTTGTAAGTAACAGAAAACTTATTTCAAATTGATTTCAAGAATTAGAGGATATATTTGATGGGCCAGAGAGGTAGGATGGACTTTAGGAGTGATTTAATTCAGCTGCTCAGTTATCTTGTCTACAACTTGGTTTCCTTCCATCTGTCTACTCTGTCTGCTGCAGTGTCAGCTTTATCTTGAAGGATAGCTTCCCTCTGGCATCAGAATGATTGCAGCAGTTTCAGGCTTATACACGCATGTTACACTGCTCAGGAAGAGAGAAAGGGCTGGCCTCTGAGAGCTTTCCCTGACCGTGCACAATCTTCTAGCAAGACTCACCTTCAATTTTTTTACCCTACATTGAGTTTGTGCTAAGTTTTAAACCAATTTAAAACACACACACACAAACGTTAATATCACCACCAATCTTATCAGGAAAGGCTTTAAATATTAGGAAGCTGTCAAGTTCATGGAGATAAAAGTTTTCCAAAATTCTGATTTTTGCTTGGAAGGTCAGGTGTCAACAGTAGCAACAAATTCTGTCAGTTGTTTTCCTTCAAATGACAGGCTCACTTCTCATTTTTTTCTTTTGAGAAAATACCTGCCAGATACCCAAATCTGAATAACCATAGTTATTAGATATTATATTTTATCATCTTTTAAAAATTTTCTTATTCCTTTCAAAGGAAAGAATGGTGTTTCATGAAAAAATGAAGTTCGTTCAGGTCATGATTCAAACCATTTCTAAGGGCTTTTTCTCAAGGCAGCCATCGTACCTCGGACTGCAGCGGAAGTACTCTGTGTTCTTCTCATTTCGTCACTCAGACTGTTAATAAGGCCTGTATCCAAGGGTTGAGACTTAATAAAATTAATAATATTGATTGCTTCATTAAGGTCATTTTTAAGTGAAACTGGTTTTTTAAAAAAAATTTTTTTAAACTGCGAGTGAAGAATACAGTGACTGCTAGTACACTACTACTGCTGCCATGATTTGTGCTAAGGTGCCCACAGTTTTACCACCATTGCTTTTCTACCATCAGTGTAAAAGTCAACAGTGAAAAGGCAAGTAACATTTTAGTGTTATTATGAAAATAGTTTTGACCTTATGGACCATGCTTTGAGAACCACCGACATCTAATCCTCAATTTCCTCATGTATAAAATGGAGATAATAATATCCACTTCAAAGGGATAAAGATTTAATGATTTAATGCATATAAAGCACTTAGCTTTCAGTAAATGTTAACTATCGCTATTCTTTTTTGAAGAAAAGTTGTGCAATATAAAAATTTTAGAGGAAACAAATCTTTCATAGCCCTACCACCAAAACACAGCTGAGTTCACTCTTAACATTTTTGTCTGCTTCCTCACACCTTTCTGTATGTAATCTTTTTTCCTTTTTGTATAGATATAAATTATTATATGTCAGCATTTGCAAACAGGAATTCCAGGGAACACAGTTCATGGCATTTTAAAAGATATTACATTGAAGCAGTATATCCTAATGGTTGGAGACAGATATTGGAGCAAGACTTTCCTGGGTTCAAACCCAGTCTCTACCACTTACTGGCTGTGTGAGGTTAGGGAAGGTATTTAACTTTTTTCTGCCTTAGTTTGCTATCTGTAAAATGGGGATAATAATAGTACCTACCTCATGGGATTGTTTATTTTAGATAGAGCACATAGAATAGTGCCTGACACTTAGTAAGCTAAGCAATCAGTAAGTGTTATTTACTATTACGTGAGAAAAGGGTTCTCTAGTTAAATAAGCTTGGGGATATCAGAGCTAAAAGGCAAGGTTACTTTACTATAGGACTCCCCAGAGTCTTCAATGTTATAATGTTTGCTGTTAATTTTTAAGAGGGGCCTTAAATTGCATTAAACTTATTTATCATGAAAATCTTTTTGTCATGGCATATCTCACAGGGCTAATGTCATTTATCTTTTTTGAGCATCCTAAATATCCTTAAAGTCTGTCAAGCTCTTATTATTTTATTTTCATTAGGAGTGAGTTCATTTTGGGTTTTTCTTTTAAAATTTTATTGGCTATCTATTTTAACATTAGGTTTAAAACTCAAGATGTTTTTAAAAGGAATCAGTTCAAAGTAGAATACTAGTTACAAAATCTGTGCTCTTATTTAATATTATGCTGTCTCTCAGATTGGCTTAAAGTTGACAACTACTTTACCTTATATCTTTGTGGAAAGATGGCTCAAGTGGTATTTATCAATACCTTGCACCTATACTTTAATCTCACATTCAGTCCAATAAAATATTTGTAGAATTATGGCTTTATGTTCTTCTCTAGTATACATGTATCTATGAAAAGTATATAAGCCTCTGTAAAAATGAGCAATTCTACTAGGCTATTATGCTGACAGCAACTCTGACTAATGCAGTTCCCATTAAGAGATATTTTAACAGAACTGTTTCTTTGATATGTAATTTTAAAGCACTATCCCACAACTGTAATGCCAGAATCATTTGATGATACATATGGTCCAATTTGGTGTGAAATAGAATGCACTTTCTAAAAGAATTGTTGCTTTCAATTCATACCTAATTTTAAATTGCATTGAAGTAAAAAAAAGTAGCATGTATTTTTCTTCTCTTCCAAAGGGGAGGCATGTTTTCTCTCCACAGATTCTTTACTTAATAGTAGTAATACAGAGAAACTTCTAAAAATGTCTTGAAATAAAAATGTAGCTGTAATAGAGAAGATTTGAATTTTTAGAATACAAGCTCTAATGAGAAAAATTTCCATTAAGGTGGTTTGTGGTGTCCGTCCGTTCTCAAAGTGACTGTCCACCTATGTGCAGTTGTATTTTATTTTTTAACATATTCTAGTAAATGAAGTTATCTCTGTTTAAGTGGAGACCATTATGACTTAACTAGTCATGTTATAATTTGTGTCTAAGCTGTGTCACAGTAGAGTACCTACTGCAGATACACATTTTTTTTTTTTAATCAAGTCATTAATTAAATGGACCTTTGAGATCAAATTAGCCAGTATTATATTTTACTGATGGGAAAAGAGAGGCATATTGTTTATAAATAAATTTCCCAAGGCCGCGCAGCTTGTTAGTGGCAAGCAGGAGACTGATCCTTGTCCAATGTCAGACTGTTGTTGTTAGGTGCCGTGAAGTCGATTTCTGAAACAGACTATTTGATTTTATTGGCAAATGAACAAAGATACTTGGAAAAAAAAAATAGATGTTGGTCAACCTTATTTGCTTTTTTTTCTTAAAGATTTTATGAATCATGTCCATAAAGTAAATTTGTAAAAGAATTTTAATTGTTCTTTTCAAATGATAATATTAAATGTTATTAAAATCTAACGTAGAAGTTCTGCGTCATGGTTGTTAAGACTATAGGCTTTGGAGTCAGATGATTGCCTGATTTGAATCCTTTTTCCACAGTTTTTTAGTTGTATGACTTTGAGCTAATTACTTAACCTTTCTACGTCTTCATTTTCTCATCTCTAAAATGGGTATGATGATAAAAGTACCTCCCTCTTTAGGGCTATCACAAGGAATAAATTGAAACAGCGTGTGTTTCACATAGCATATAGTGTAATGTAGGCTCATGATACACGATGAGAAAATGTTAGTGTGACCATTGTTAACATTATTTTAACTATTTACTTCATCCTTATACTCGCCCATCCCCACGCTCATTTTCCTTTCCTGTCAAATTCCTGTGTATCTTTCAGTATTGAGTTTATTGTCATTTCCTCCAAAAAGAAATCTTTCCTAACTCTCTCGTGCAGAATTAGTCCCCCCCTTTTAACATTATAGTGTCTCTAAGATAGTCTCAGAGTCCCTGGGTAGTGCATACAGTTAAGTGCTTGGCTACTAACTGAAAGCTTGACAGTTTGGATCCACCCTGAGGCATCTCAGAAGAAAGGCCTGGCAATCTACTTCCAAGAGATCACAAACCAAAAAAACTAAACCCATTGCTGTCGAGTCAATTGTGACTCATAGCAGCTCTATAGGACAGAGTAGACCTGCCCAATAGGGTCTTTAAGGCTGTAAATCTTTATGGAAGTAAACTGCTACATCTTTCTCCCATGGAGCAGCTGGTGGGTCCAAACCACCCACCTTTCGGCTAGCAGCTGAGCACTTTAACCCCTGTGCCACCAGGGCTCCCCAGAAGATCACAGCCATTGAAAACCCTCGAGCACAGTTCTGTTCTGACACAGGTGTGAGTTCGCCATAAGTTGGAATTGAATCGTCAGCAACTGGTTTGTTTGTTTGTTTCGCTTTAAGATGATTTCAGGATTGGAGCCACTGTGTTGGACCAATAAAAGTGACCACAACAGCAGCTAGTCGAGTGCCTGATTCACTGCCATCACTCCCAACACCTTTACCCCAAAACTTTTTCTGGTTCCTCCTTAGAATCTTATGTGTCCTTTTATATTAGGACTAACTACCTCCTGATGTTGCCTCCTGCAGATCTAGACAGTATGGTACCTACCATTCTTCTTTTACTACCCTGGCCCAGCTCTGTGGAGTCTATCTGTACCATGCCTTCTTTCACCAGGTTGGGATGCTCTGCTCTGATAACAATTAGTGTATGTGCCCTTATTTTATTTTACAGGATTATCTGTTTATGTTATAATTATCTGCTTACATAGTTATCTTCCCCACTACACCATGAGCTCCACAAGAACCTTTTTAATGTTTGTAGCCATAATACATAGTAAGTGTTGGCCTAGCAGACATTCATTACAAAGCTTTCCTCTTTTGAGTGAATGACTAAATGAATGGTGTTCATTTATAAATTAGCAACAACCAGCTATCACCTTCTGCTGATAAATTCTACTATTTTAATAAAATTGTAATCTCTAGGAGGTAATGTGGTTGGGCAGAAAGAACCTTGAATTAGGATTGAAAAAATAGACCTCTTTGACCAAGGCAAACTACTTTTCTGTACCTTGGTTTGTTTCCTTTTAAAATGGAATAACACTTGCTTTGCCTACATTACAGAGTTGTTGAAGAAAATATGAGATACTGCTAGTCAAATGAAAGATTTCCTACCAATGTAAACTGGACTACTGTCCTGGAGAATAAGTAAATTTTATTTTAACTGTTGTGCTTTGATTTGATTCCTACTTTGTTTTTGCAAACTTTCCAAAATTTCTAAGATAGTTAAAAATTTGTAAGGAAAGATATTTAACCATAATAAGTTTTTTCTCTCATGTACCAGCACTAGTATTTGAATACCAATAAGCATAATTTAAAATTATTATTTTAGGGTCTCATAAGTTCTTTTCCTATTGTATGTGACTTTGTGACATATTTTGTTTCATTAACATTTACAGCTTGGGTTCCAGATATGTTCTTTTTATATTTTAAGTTTTAGTCACAGTTATATTATTATTTTAATGCTTTCTGCTCTTGGGTTTTCTTAATATTATCCTATTCTCTGCCTCATTATTTTACTAAGTCCAATTGGACAAAAAAATGGATACTATACCTGCCATGGTCATTATACTCATTTTATAAAATGTAGAATCAGAAGAAGGAGGAGAGAAAAGACTGAAGATTGCTTGAAGTGGAATTAACTGAGTTATGAAATAGAAGGAAGGATATTTCTTAAAGAGCCCCAGACAGAAGGTAGTGAGAAAGAGATTAGGAGTTGCGCAGCACTGTGTACACTCCATGAGGACGCTTTTGGGCCAAGGCAACCTTTTTGCTATGTGGAGTATCTTTTACGTATATAGGGAAAAAGGAAGAAAGTATGTAACAAGTTAATTGTATTACAGTGAATGTGTAAATCAGGTATTCACAACCTGGGGAGTGCCTGTATTAAAAAAGAGCACAGACTATGCTTTCCTGCCATTTAAGGAGTACCTTCTTAATAGTGTGAAAAAACTAGGCATATTTAGCAGTTTCTTACTTGTTTTTTCTATCCTTTCAGTGTATATGTCTCCTCATCTGAAAAGTGGAGATGACATGATCCAAATGTGCCGTGTTAAGTTGTATCAATTAATTATCATTAGCACTGAAAATGAAAGATTAACATATTGATTAGTCTGAGTTAAGGAACTAGTCATCAAACCTTTTGTCAGTTTGTAACCTTGTATTTTTTTTTCTTTTAATAAGTTTCATAGAAGAATTTACAAAGGAATTCCACTCCAGCTGAGAGGTGAAGTCTGGGCTTTACTTCTTGAGATCCCTAAAATGAAAGAAGAAACAAGAGATCTTTATAGTGTGAGTATCTAAACTAACCTGTTATTTTGAAATTAAAAAATAAGATCCATTTCTTTTAGCTTTCAAGATGTGATGTAAGATATTCATAGCATCATTTGGATTATATTAAAATTAAACTACATTGGGTTTTATAGATCCAGTATATGTTTCTTTGTTGTTTTTGTTTGTTTATTACAATCTACTTCCTAATTTTCAAACAAATACAAAGTGAAAATGTTATTTTCTGTATTAATCAATAACTGTCAAGTGCCTTTCACATACAAGTAACTTAAAATGATCAATCAGTGTTGGGGCATTTTATAAGGAAAACTAAGTAATACTTGATTATAGCCACTCCTTTCCAACGTCGTATTAATAAATAAATTTACAGTGTCAATTTTAGAGTTTATGGGGAAATAACAGAAGAATTCCATTTGTCCAGCAGCTGCTTGTATATGATTAATGGTTTTCTTCACATTTGAAAAAAGAATTTTCCCCCAAGATTATTAGTATGTCTCTGGGTTTCATTATTTATTACCCTGGAGTTAAGCTTTTGACTCAGTGATCAGAAATGCTTTCCTTAAATTAGCCAGTGCATTGATTTACCTTCTTGTCATCTCAGCTATACCTTTTTAAGCCTAAACTTTACATTAACCTTTGAAAGGAATAAGAAAATTTTTAAAAGATGATAAAATATAATATCTAAGAATCTTAGACCATAAATTTCAAAATATGTTCCTTAGAAAATATAAATAGAATAAATTAAAATAGAATAATTGGAAAAAAATAATTGAGAGCTTAAGCCCAAAACCAATTATAAAACGAACTTTAGAATGCTCTTTTAATATTTTTATTTTCTGTTTCTCTATATGTATTCAAGGAGCCCTGGTGGTGCAGTGGTTAAGGCACTCAACTGCTAACTGAAAGGTCGGCGGTTCGAAACCACCAGTGGCTCGGCAGGAGAAAGATGTGGCAGTCTGCTTCTGTAGAGATTTACAGCCTTGGAAACCCTATGCGGTCGCTAAGAGTTGGAATCTACTCGAGGGCAATGGGGTTTGGGTTTATATATGATCAGGTAAAATTTCATCAAGATGAAAGATAATAAATACTGGTTAATTTAGAGTTACTAATTTTGTATGACGAGAGGTTTTAAAATATTAGCTATTTGAACACTGCACAGACTATGAGTTTATGTCAGAGGGTTGTAGAGTTTCAAATTATTTTAGACTGTTGATTAGATATTTGTTTTTAGGTTCATAGTTTTAGAGAGCGACTGTTGGAAATGAAGTATAAACTATAACCCCAGCACCTAATATAGTGTGCCTGGAATATGGTAGGTGCTCAGTAAATATTTGTTTAATTAATGAAAGAAGAAAATTACTCTTATTTAGTATGCTAATAGTTGAACTATAGTTTTCAGTTATATTTTAGGCTTTTTATATATAGAATAAAATTTCCAAAGCCTGGTTAGTATGAGAGAATCATTTAGTAAAAACCAGTAGTTCAACAACAAAAGAAATAATTTGCCCACGAATAGTTTTATGCTCATAATTTTCAGTACTACCATAAACCTTATTTTTACTATATGAGTTTCTCCCAGCATTATTTTTAAACCATTTCTTCCTTTTCCAACCATTCTTTCTTACTCACTTTCTCCAAAAGTGATATACCTTGCTCTTCACACATCCTCCACAAATTGGGCCTTCGGTAAGAGTAAAATCACCTTCTCATATTCTGCAAAAGTTTTACAGATCTGAGGGCAGATTCTGTTACATTGTGAGCCTTCAAGATTTCCTGAGCACCTGTTTGTCCTTTTTTGGAATAAAGCTCTCTGCTAAGTGCTGAGGAGCATAAAAAGATGACTGAATAGGAGCAATGTCACGAAACTTTTCTTCTCTGTTGGGGGCGACATGATTGCATAAAAATATGTTTTACTAGTAGTGTGTGATATATACTCTAAAAATAGTAAAACAAAGGAGTTGGCAGAGTTCAAAAGAGGGAAAGAAAAGAAATCACTATTCAGGAAGACTTCATGGAATAGGAGGTGTCTGAGGTGGGCTTCATTTCTGAAAGGGAGGAAGAGGAGGGGGAGAGAAAATGATTAGTTTTTAATTTGAAGCTTCACATTACTGTATTTTTAAAATACAGTGTCGTAGTCATCTAGTGCTGCTATAACAGAAATACCACAAGTGGATGGTTTTAACAAAGAGAAGTTTATTTCCTTACAGTAAAATAGGCTAAAAGTCCAAATTCAGGGTGTCAGCTCCAGGGAGAAGGCTTTCTCTCTCTCTGCCTTCTCGTCAGTGTTCCCCCAGACTAGGAGCTTCTCGGAGCAGGGACCCCAGTCCAAAGGACGCACTCTGCTCCCGGCACTGCTTTCTTGATGGTATGAGGTACCCCTGTCTCACTGCTCACTTCTGTCTTTTATATCTCAAGAGATTGCCTCAGGACACAATCCAGTCTTGTAGATCAGGTCCTGCCTTACTAACACAACTGCCACCCATCCTCCCTCATTAACATCATAGAGGCAGGATTTACACATATAGGAAAATCACACAGTACCAGGAATCATGGCCCAGCCAAACTGATATACACATTTTTGGGGGGACATAATTCAAACCATGACATACAGTATCTACTTTACCTTGAGGAGAGCTAACATTATTTGAGTACTTTTATGTGCAGGTGCTATTCTAAGTGCTTCATGTGAATTAAGTCATTTTATTCTCGGAACAGTGTTAGGAGGCAGGTTTTTAAAATTATTATCATTATCATTATTATTTTCATTTTACAGATGAGGAAACTGAGCTAGCTTAGTGAGGTTTAGTAACTATCCTGAGGTTAGAAACTGAGACAGGATTTAAAATCCAGACTGACCTGGCTTCTGAGCAAGTGCTCTTATTTATTCCATTCCACCGTTTTTTGTTTTTCATTGCATCTCACTTGTGTTTGTCTCTTTTATGTCTAGCAGTGTATCTTACAAATGGTAGAGGCTCAATCAATAGTGGTTAACAACCTCATCTACAGCCTTAGCTTGGTTCAGTGATCTTATAGGCCAAATCCACAGTGATACTGCAGATTTTCATTTCCTATTTTCATCTACATGCTTTTTGCTGTATTTCTGCCCTCAGGTTTATGGGTTCATTAGATTTTTTTTTTTTTAATAAGATGTTTATTTTTAATATTATTGTGACATTCTTGGATCTCAGCCTACCCAATCTCAGAGATAAGAGTAGAATCAGTTTACCTCCTTTTCATTAAGATAAATGTGTTTGAATTCCAGTATTCTGTGCATTAGCTTATGAATATTGTAGGCCATAAATAATGTTTCTATTTTTTTTAACTGCTTAACTGGGCTTTTATTCTGTTATGAGGCTTTTTTTTAATGCTGGAATTTTTTTGTCCTCTAGAGTAACTGATGTTGTAGATGTGTTTGGGTGTTTTTTTCTCTTCCAATTAAATCTTATTTTAAAGCTGTTTCTTTTAAATCATGCCTTGTCAAACATGTTCTTCCTGTGTTTCTATATTCAGTCTTTTACCAGAAGGTTTATAGAGCAATAATTGAAACTTCTTTACTTGCCTACAACCTATTTTTTTCCTTAGATATGAAAAGAACAAATAGATACAGTTTTTTTTTTTTAAAGCTACGTTTTTGTAATGTCTTCTGGACAAACTTTTATCAGAAATAACATACAATAATATTTTGATGATAGTGGCACAGTGGTTAAGCATTCGGCTGCTAACCAAAAGGTTGATGGTTCAGACTCACAGCGGCTCCACTGGAGAATGATGTGGTAGTCTTCTTTTGTAAAGATTAAGGCTTGGAAATCCTATGGGGCACTTTTACTCTGAGTCATACCTGTAGGGTCACTATGAGTTGGAATAGACTCAACAGCAACGGGTTTGGTTTTTTTTTTTTTTTTGGTTTATGATTATTATACAATACTTTAAATATCTTCCCCTGTCTTTAGGACTCTGAAATATACTGTGAATATTCTTTATGTTTTAAAAAGCTACAGAAGCTGCCCTTCTCTCAGGTCCTACCTCAAAACACAAAAATACATGTATTCACAAAACACTTAACATACACACACAGATATTCCAGACATACCCAGATATGCTTCTTTCCACTTTTCGCTTAAGTCAGGAGTTAACATTTACATTTTTATATGTACTTAGAGATTGATTTTCATATAAATGTATATTACCAGTAGATGGTAAATGGGTCAATATAACATATGGATATAGATGTTTAATTATACTTAAACATGGTTAAGTATAAACTAATATAAATTTTAATCTCCCTTCTGGTTAAACATGGAAATTAACACACTCATTTAGCCCCCTTTCCCCCAAAATGCCATTAAATTGACAGCAGAGGGTTTTTAAATAGGTAAACCCCCAAGGAGTAAGAAAATGAGAGAAGAGGTAACAGCTACCCATTTTTGGAAACCGGAATGCAGATGTACATTTAGTAAACTTAGCAAATTGTAGGCTGGCAGTGGGAAATTGGAGAAGCAACCTGATTTATCTCTCAAACTCTCCAAAAGACTTGATAATTACCAACACCAGGAAGTGGAGGTAAAGCTAAAAACAGGAAAGTGGTTGAAAGCCTGTGTAAAAAGCAGTTAGAGCCACTAGATCCCTGCCCCCACTCTGGCACAAGACTGAAGGTTTATTATTTGGAGAGATTAAAACAGGACCTCTGGACTGGAAAGAAGAGATGGCATTGCTGAGGGTGGGGCTGCTGTATTGAAAGCAGAGGATTTGAATATCCTGAATTTTGGACACTCCAGCTATTTCCTCCATTCAGCTCCCAGAACATTGGCAGCTAGGTGCTTGTCTTTCTAGGCAGGAGATGGGAAGAGCCTTCTCTGAGGAATCTGACCATCCTAAGAGAAGAAACCCACAGATACTGACATCAAGGGAACCCCAGTCAAACTGCCAAGCAGATCACTCTACAATGAAGACCACAGTTTGGAAGCCCCACCCGTGCACCCAGAGCTTTCAATCCACTTTTTAGTGCCCCACTTTTAAATATAAGCAGACACTGAAGCATCAGTATTCATTTGAGGAAAGAAGCTAACATGAAAAGCAAAAAAAAAAAAAAATGGAAAAAAGACAACTTGTAAAAATAGACTATAGAGCAAGAAGAAAATGTAAAAAAAAAAAAAATCAATATCTTCAGAGAGATAAGAGTAGGTATTGCATCCATAGAATAAGTATAGGATGCTGTGAAAAAGAAACACTCAAGAACAACAAAGAACTTATGAATATTAAAAATGATATTAAAATGAAAAACTTAACCAAGGAGGGTTTGCAAATTAAAATTGAAGAAATGTCTTAGGATGTAGATAAAAAAGAGAGAGATAGAAAATTAGATGACAGCCCAGGAGACCCCACATTGTAATAATAAGAGTTCCAGAAAGAGGAAATGGGGGTAGCGGAATGAGAAAATCAACAAAGGAATTATTGAAGAAAAAGTCTCAGAACTGAGAGATGAGCAGTATGAGTTTTTAAGACAGAAGGGATCCAACAAGTGCCCAACATTGTGGATAAAAATAGATCCACATCAAGAACAGAAATGTGAATTTTCAGAACATGGAGAACAAGAAACTCCTACAGACTCCTAGCAAGGAAATAAAAAAAAAGATTTCATATAAAGAAACAAGAATTAGAGTAACAACACTGGAAGCTAGAAGACAGTGAAACAGTGCCTTTTGAGTGAAAATATTTTCCAACTTACAATTCTAAAGCACCCAAAGAGTTAATATAGAGTAGATTTATCACACATTCAAAGTTTCAAAAATTTATCTTCCATGTACCCTTTCATAGGAGCTACTGGAGGATGTGCTCCTTTAGAGCAAGGGAATAAACCAAGAAAGAAGAAGATATAAGATCCAGGATACAGGGGACTCAACACAAGAGAAAAGCAAAGGGAAACCCTAAGAGATGGTGAAGAGAGATTTCAAAACACCAGCTTGCGCAGCAGGCCTGGAGATCAATAAGCCCACATTTGGAGAAGGTCAGAAAGCTCTGGACAAGATGTCTTTAAGAAGACGAAACTGGTGTAATACTTATTATATTTGAACATCTCCAAAGGTGATTTCTCCAACTTAAAGTGAGTTTGGGGTTGAATTAGTGACGAGTGGGTAGAAAACAAAGCAAATCAAGAAACAAAGTAATGATTAGCTCCAAGGAAAACAAAAATATTGAGCTGGAAAGAAAAAATAGTAGACTACATGGCTCAGCTATGAAGAGCTTTTGCATAGTCTGGGTAACAAACTGCAAAATTAAAAAAAATTTTTTTTTAAATCTAACTATTGACAGGATGAAAGGGAAGAAGAGGTGGTGAAGGAGGGAGGAAGATGAAATAAAATAGGTGGGGCCGTGGGTGGAGGGAAACCTTCCTCGTGTGCAGTCTTATATTTTGATTTTTGACCATGGAAATGATTTCTTTTAAAAAAATGAGATTTATGTTACTATTTGTCATAGACATTCAATAACTGATTGCCATAAAAATGTACTTTCTTCCCCTCTTTTTCCTCTTCAGAAATTAAAACACAGAGCACGAGGTTGTTCACCTGATATCAGACAAATTGACCTTGATGTCAACCGCACATTTAGGGACCATATTATGTTTAGAGACAGATATGGTGTTAAGTAAGTAAAGTTCAATATTATGAAATACAAATAGAATTTATAAATACTCTTTATCAAAGTCTTTATTAACTTAGAGTGTCCAGAATGTCTTGTATAGACTATGATTTTGATTTAGCTGCTAAACGTTTAAGCTTTTGTAGGTTATTTGAGTCCATGTTGTGTGAAACCTAAGATCTAATATGACTTAATTTCTTTAACCTTTTGACATAGTAGTTGTATACAGTTGGAAAAGGATCATTTTATGATCTTGAAATTCTGAAAATACATGGTAGATAATTTTATTAAAAGGCTTAGAAAAGAAATGAGAGATTGTGTTACTCCTCGAGAACTGTTCAGTGATAAATACATCCATAGAAACTTAACCCCATGCATAAATGAAACTAAAAAACATAGGAAATTAATGATTATTTTAAAACTAAGTATAACAGGGCATTAGTACTACACATTGACTGACATTGAGTATTTCATTGCTATGACAGTTTGTGAATGAAAGGCACAGTTTTGCTGACCTCTGTGTCAATCAGGGTTCAGCCAGAAAACAGAACCAGTAGGAGATATATATTAAGAGATTTATTGCGAAGAATTGGCTTATGTATTTTAGGGGCTGACTAGGCAAGTCTGAAATCCATAAGGCAGGTCATCAGGAAGGATAGGTTGGAACTCTTCGACATTTGAACCAAAGCTGCAGTCCACAAGCAGAATTTCTTCATCAGGGAAGACTCAACTCTGCTCTAAAAGCCTTTTAACTGCTTGAATTAGGCCTACCCAGGTTAGCTAGGACAATCTCACCTACTTAAAGTCAACTGATTATGGACTTTAATCATATCTAGAAAATATCTTCAGAGCAACATCTAGACTTGCATTCAGTTGAATAGGTAGGTGCTATAGCCAAGTTGACACATAAAATTGACCATCACAATCCACCCCTTGTCAACTTGGCACTCATACATATCTTCTTAAACCATATTTAATCTTCAAATAAAGGCAATAACAAATAAACATAACTGATGTTACTGAATTGTACATATGAAGAATGTTGATATGGCAAATGATTTGTTACATATATATTTACCACAAAAAAAAAGAATAACAGAGTCATACCTCTGCCTAACATGATACAACTAACCTGCTTACAAATGAAAATATGCTAACCCTTTCCCCACAAGAGGATGCAAAGCCTTTAGGTGATGTTCATTCTTCTCCTTTGATATCCTGTAAGTTAAATATAGTCATATAAAGTCAAATGTTATTAATACATCTTTTGTTAGATGATAAGGGAATGAGAGAGAGGAAAACAAAAATATTTGGTTAATATACGGACAAATTTTCATAACAAACTAAGGAAGAAATACTAATAACTATTACAGTCCTTATTTCAGCAACTGGCCATATGGTAATAGCTGGTATTTATAACAGTCTTCTTTCACTATCATTCCATATTCCTTTGTCTTCGGCATGTACCTCAGCTGGTCGTGGCTCTCGGCCTGATGAGGTGACCTAAACTGTCATTCCTGAAGGGTGTAGGCCATTAGTAGTCCAGCCTGAATTGGGTTATTATAGTTTTCCATTGACTTTAATCACAGGGCATGGTAGTACTAAGAGATAGCCTGTATTCCAGGTATACTCTTTCTTACCTCCTGTGTAGTAGCAACCAAATTTCCCTTGGTAATGAGTATCAGTCACTTCAGCCAGTACAGTAACCCCCTTCTTTGCCTGTTGATTTAGAAGCATGAAAAGCCCAGAGTGCCTAGGTGGCAGTTTCAACTTCCAGTTCAGTGGAATCATTGTTGTGTCTCCTAGTGGAAGCATTCCTCCCTTTGGAATTAAGACTTCTAGACCAGCAGAGCTCATGATCGCAGGGACAGAAAGCGAAACTGTTGCTAGTGGATTACTAGAGATAATAGTGGCTGGTGCCACTCCCATTTCCACCTCTTCATTCCTGGAGCCGTGAATCCTGACTATAGGCAAAATAGCACCATAGATTGGACACTGATTTAGAGCATATACCGTATCTTGGAGGATATGGCCCCAGCTCCACAAGTTATTGCCATGTAACCGGTGTGTAACTAAGTCTTCAAAAGGCTGTTCCACCATGCTGTTAAGCCAGTTGCTTCTGTCGTGATGATTTTAGGGTGAGATAGTTCAACCAGAGAGAGCAACAAATTTGGTATAATTTTTTTCTATTAGAATGAATGTTACCTAGTCTCAAATTTAGGCTGTTTAGAGTATTATTTAAATTTGAGCTTGGAGTCATTTCTTTATTACAGCAGTACTTTTATTTGGATTTATTTACTTTCAGCCAACTTGTTTATTTTAAAAAAATGTTTGTAATTTAAAATATATGTGAAATAACTTGTGCTTAATGTAAATATTTTTTTCTCTAGGCAACAATCCTTATTCCATGTTCTTGCTGCATATTCTATTTATAATACGGTAAGTCAGAGCATATTTGTCTACAGTTCTTTGAGTTGTATTCTGAGGAACTGGAGTTACTGTTTTGGCACAAGGTCCTCTGGGCCACATTTCTTCATCTCAGGTCTAGATGATCTCCACAGTCTCTTCTAGCGCTATGGTGGTTCTTTTTTTAAAGCTCCTATGATAACCCTAGGATCTTAGAGCAATGCTGATTTGGAAGTGGAAAGACTTAGGTATGACCATATATGCCAGTGAAGCTCACTTTTTTCTCTCTCTAGATTATTTTGTTATGTTTCGTGTTGTTGGTTTATTTTTATTTATAAGCAAATAAAACAGAATGAGCAGGGCCAGGACAGGAAGTTGGAGATGATTCTCACACAGTATTGGAAATATGGGTCTTAGTTTCTTTTCCCCATCTCTCACTCTCTCCTTCCTCTTTGGCTCAGTCTTGGATCAAGGAACCCTTAAATATTTCCATCTCCATCTTATTCGCCACCCTACTTGATTCTCCCTCTAAAAGAAGACACTTAAAATGCCCTAAGACAAGAATACTCCTGTCCAAAGTGTTATTGGGCTCTGTTCCTAGAGAGTATTTTAGTTAGTTAAAGATTAACTCTGTATATTAGTAAAACTGGAAACAACACCTGCCTTCTCATTTGTGCTGTGACATTACAAGGGCTAGATTAATTTTTGCTTGATTCTTTAGATAACTCTTCATTGCTCTTGGGAGGTTGTCTTTTAGAATCATGTTTTATCCATTAGGTAAGGTCCAAATAGAGCAACACATGCACTTACTTGTTATTCCCAGGGTTAGGCTAAACGAAACTCTTTGGTAATAGAACGTGCTGTTCTTAAGGCATTTACCACTCTGGGGGGAGAAGGTAAGTTGGAGAAAGGTTAATCAGTGTTGAACATAATGTATGTGTTAAATAAATGCTTGTTGCTGGGGGCCCAGGGAGGACAACCTTTGAACCTTGGGAAGTATAATTTCTATTATAATTAAAACCTTTAAGTTAGAAGGAACAGAAATTCTCTAAAACTAGGGCAAGTTAAAAAGGGGTTTATTAAAAAGGACTTCTCACAGAAATGAAGCAATAGTTGGGCCTCATAGGAACTAGAGCTGGAAAGTCAAAGCCTTCAGTGGAAAAGAAAGCTATCCTTTCTTATCTGCAACCATGTGGTGCCTCTAATTGTCTCTGTGAACTGTTTATTCCACTGTTTCTCTCTTTGAATTGGCTTTCTTTGCCTGCTTATCAGTTTTTACATGATTAAGATTGTGTCCACAGACTCAACATGACCATTCTATCAAGTACATACCACCATCTGATTGCATCTGTGGCTTTGTTTTACTTTCATAGAAGGAGAATCTGATCAGTCACTCTCAGCCAATTAATAGTTCCCCTGGGGTCAGGTGTCCTCCTCTGGTTCGTCAGCTATTATTCACATGGCACAAACGTGAATCCCTAAGGCCACATCATAAACAGGGACTATGGGGGTAGTGAACAGTTCTCAGAGAGGGGGCATAGGCTGGATGGGCATCCTAAAATGTGTCTATTCAAGAATCTAGAAATCTAGAGAGGACAAAAACATCAAATTGGGCATTGTAGGAGGAGAAAAATTTGCCATCTTCTGAACAGAGAAGAGGAATATTGAACTGAGAATCATACACAAAAAAGAAATTAAAATTATTGCTGTTAGGTGCCAGCAAGTCAGTTACGACTCATAGCGACCCTATGCACAACAAAATGAAACACCACCTGCTCACAATCATTATGTTTGAGCCCATTGTTGCAGCCACTGTGTCAGTCCATCTGATCGAGGGTCTTCCTCTTTTTCACTGACCCTCCACTTTACCAAGCATGATGTCCTTCTCTAGGGACTGGTCCCTCCTGATAACATGTCCAAAGTACATGAGATGAAGTCTCACCATCCTTGCTTCCAAGGAGCACTTTGGCTGTATTTCTTCCAAAACCACAGACTCTTTCGTTCTTTTGGCAGTCCATGGTATATTCAGTATTCTTCGCCAACACCGTAATTCAAAGGCATTGATTATTCCTTGCTCTTCCTTATTCATTGTCCAGCTTTTGCATGCATATGAGGCGATTGAAAATACCATGGCTTGGGTCAGGCACACCTTAGTCCTCAAAGTGACATCTTTGCTTTTGCACCCTTTAAAGAGGTCTTTTGTAGCAGATTGGCTCAATGCAATACGTCATCTGATTCCCTAAGTGCTGCTTCTGTGAGCGTTGATTGTGGATCCAAGTAAAATGAAATCCTTGACAGCTTCAGTCTTTTCTCCGTTTGTCATAATGTTGCTTATTGGTCCCGTTGTGAGGATTTTTGTTTTCTTTATGTTGAGGTGTAATCCATACTGAAGGCTGTAGTCTTCGATCTTCATCAGTAAGTGCTTCAAGTCCTCTTCACTTGCAGCAAGCAAGGTTGTGTCATCTGCACATCACAGTTTGTTAATGAGTCTTCCACCAATCCTGATGCCCCATTCTCCTTCATACAGCCCAGCTTCTCGGATTATTTGTTCAGCATATAGACTGAATAAGTATGGTGAAAGGATGCAACCCTAACTCGTGCCTTTCTTGTTTTTAAACCATGCAGTATCCTCTTGCTGTGTTTGAACAACTGCCTCTTGGTCTATGTTCAGGTTCCGCATGAGTACAATTAAGTGTTCTTAAATTACCATTCTTAGCAATGTTATCCATAATTTGTTATGATCTACACAATGGAATGCCTTCGCAAGGTCAATAAAACACAGGTAAACATCTTTCTGGTAATTCTCTATTTTCAGCCAAGATCCATCTTATATTAGCAATGATATCCCTGGTTTCATGTCCTGTTCTGAATCAGGCTTAAATTTCTGGCAGTTCCCTGTTGATGTATTGCTGCAATGGCTTTTGAATGATCTTCAGCAAAATTTTACTTGAGTGTGATATTAATGATATTGTTGGAGAATTCCTGCATTCTGTTGGGTCACCCTTCTTTGGAGTGGGCACAGATAGGGAGCACTTCCAGTCACTTGGCCAGGTAGCTGTCTTCCAAATTTCTTGGCATAGAGGAGTGAGCACTTCCAATGCTGCATCCATTTGTTGAAACATCTCAATTGGTATTCTGTCAATTCCCGGAGAGTTGTTTTTTTGCCAGTGCCTTCAGTGCAGCTTGGACCTCTTCCTTCAGTACCATTGGTTTTGGTTCATATGCTACCTCCTGAAATGGTTGAACATCGACCAATTCTTTTTGGTACAGTGACTCTGTGTATTCCATCCATCTACTTTTGATGCTTCGTGCGTCATTCAATATTTTGCCCATAGAATCCTGCAAAATTGCAGCTCGAGGCTTGAATTTTTTCTTCAGTTCTTTCAACTGAACAGATGCCGAGTGTGTTCTTCCCTTTTGGTTTTCTAACTCCAGGTCTTTGCACATTTCATTATAATATTTTACTTTGTCTTCTCAAACTCTGCCTTTGAAATCTTCCATTCAACTCTTTTACTTCGTTTCTTCCCGTCACGTTAGCTTCTGGAGGTTCAAGAGCAATTTTCAGAGTCTATTCTGACATCCAGTTTGGCCTTTTCTGTTTTTCCTGTGTTTTTTTTTTTTTTTTTTTAATTGTACTTCAGGTGAAGGTTTATAGAACAAATAGTGTCTTATTAAACAGTAGTACACATATTGTTTTATAACATTGGTTAACAACCCCATGATATGTCAACCCTCTCCCTTCTCGACCTTTTTTTTTTTTTTTTTGGTGAAAATATACATAGCCAAAGATACACCATTTCACAATTTTCTGCATGCACAGTTCAGTGACATCAACTATGCTCTTCCGATTGTGCTGCTATTCTCACTTTAGATGAAGGATTACAGATCAAAATAGTTTCTCATTAAATTACATCCTTCTCCAGCTCTGTCCAGAACCCTCTGTTGTGATCCCAGTCAGAGCAGTCAGTGGTGGTAGCCGGGCACCATCTAGCTGTACTGGACTCAGTCTGGTGGAGGCGCCTGTCTTTTTTTTAAAAGAACAAATATAAGGAGCAATTATTTCATTTTTTTTATTGTACTTTAGATGAAGGTTTACAGAACAAATAGTTTCTCATTAAACAGTACACATACTGTTTTATGACAATAGTTAACAACCCCATGACATGTCAACACTGTCCCCTCTCGACCTTGGATTCCCTGTTACCTGTTTTCCTGTTGCCTCCTGCCTTCTAGTCCTTGTCCCTGGACTTTTGTGCCCCATTAGTCTCATTTTGTTTTATGGGGCTGTCTAATCTTTGGCTGAAGGGTGAACCTCGGGAGTGACTTCATTACTGAGCTAAAAGGGTGTCCGGGGGCCATATTCTGAGGGTTTCTCTAGTCTCTGTCAGGCCAGTAAGTCTGGTCTTTTTTTTGTGAGTTAGAATTTTGTTCTACATTTTTTTCCAGCTCTGTCCGGGACCGTCTGTTGTTATCCCTATCAGAGCAGTCAGTGGTGGTAGCTGAGTACCATCTAGTTGTACTGGACTCAGCCTGGCAGAAGCTGTGGTGGTTGTGGTCCATTAGTCCTTTGGACTAATCTTTCCCTTGTATCTTGTTTTCTTCATTCTCCCTTTTTCCTGTCTTTTTAATAACCTTTTGCTTTCTTCATGTGTGATGTTCTTGATGTCTTCCCACAACTCAACTGTTCTTCGGTCATTAGTGTTCAATGCATCAAATTTGTTCTTGAGCTGGTCTCCAAAATCAGGTGGAATGTACTCATGGTTATACTTTGGCTTTCATGGACTTGTTCAAATTTTCTTCAGCTTCAACTTGAACTTGCATGTGAGTAATTGATGGTCTGTTCCACAGTTGGTCCCTGGCCCTGTTCTGACTGATAATATTGAGCTTTTTCATTGTCTCTTTCCACAAATGTAGTCATTTTGATTCCTGGGTTTTCCATCAGGTGAGGTCCACATGTATAGTCGCTGTTTATGTTGTTGAAAAAAGGTATTTGCAGTGAAGAAGTTATTGGTCTTGCAAAATTCTGTCATGTG